TTATAAGATTCTTTTAACTAAATTACGCGGTTTAAGAAAATAGTTAAAATTAGTTAAGAGCAGTTAATATGTAGTAAATATAATTTTTTTCAAATATACCCCTATATATAAATGGGTAGATGTGAGAGATTAATAATGAAATAAATGAAAAAAGAAAAAGTATTAAATGTATTAAACTAGGGGTAAAATAGGTAATAGTGCATTAAATGTTTAGACAAATTCAAAAGGGATCTTATAAAAAGAGACAAACCTATTCAAAAAATATGATCTTATAATAAGGGACGGAGGGAGTATTTATTAATTTTGTCCCTACAATTAATGCTTAAATATAACTCATTATATTTTTATCTCTCTTTCACAGCCTTATTTAATATGAACAAAACTAAAAAGAATTTTATTTGAAACCCATTTAATGAATTAATTATCATTTTTTCATATTGACGAATTAGTTAAAATGACTTATACTGAGGGAGTATATCATTATTTATTTATTGTGGTGAAAGACGAGGGGCATTAAAAGCTAATCATTTTTAGGTAATAGACAAATCTCTTCCAGCTAAATGTGCTCCATTCACACGGATTACGCATCAAACGTCTAATTCCTCTGAAACTCAGGGTTGAAACAATAATATGATGAACGGGGAACTGGGATATGCGTGTGTGTGTGTGTGTGGCTTGCAAAATAATTAAAATGCTGGGGAATGAGACTAACTTCAAAATAAACTCCAACAAGTGATGATGGGATAATCTTAATATCAATTTATTAATAAACTAGAGGCGGGTTGATAGCACCATATGGGTCATATTGATGTGTGACTGGCCCGACCTGAATATCAATATATTAAAATATAAGTCATCACTTCTGAATTTCTTTCAATTTCATTGAAATTAATATACCATGCATCATTTTGATTGGTTGAGGAATATGTGTGTACCGAGCTCGTTTGAATTGAAGGTCAAACAAAAAAATAAGAAGAAAAAAAAGCTCGTTTAACTCTTCTACGTTTTATTCTACACGTCAAGATATATTAAAATATGTGTGTACAATTACTCTCATTTGAGGCATTCTGATCATGAAACGTGTTTAGAAAAGTAGAAATAAGAAGCTTTCGTGGCATCCATGACTGACTTGTGCCATTAATTTCCCACAATGTAATTGACACTCCATGGATTTATCATTATCGTCACCATCATTTGTGAGAAAAGATCATTGATGATTATGTACTTGGAAATTTTTTTTCATAGCGTATAAGAAGGTTGATTTCCTTTTTCTTCTCCTTCCTCAGGAGATGAATATACCCATCAAGCTTGAACCAAGGTTCGTGAATAAAATATAAAGCACACTGAATTTCTTTTAATGTTATTGAAATTAGTATTAGCTTTATCTATCAAAGTCTTGTGCCTTCAATAAAACTTAAATTAATCATTCACCTATATCATTATTTATGAAGATATTGGAAAAATCTTTCCATGACTTTCGAGATTTCTAGCAGTATGAAAATTTGAAAACGTAAGTGACACTCCTTAAATTTATCATCACATCACCATCATTTATGGACAATATTATTGATGATTATATGGTCGAAATTCGAAATTTTTTGCTCATGCCATATGAGAAGGATATAAACTCCTTTAATTTTATGGACCCCCATAAACGGCCTTGACTGGGCAGAATTAGAATAACGGGCATTAATATCAGTTTGATCGGTCGAGGAAGACATGTATTCGGAGCTCGTTTGACTTAAAAGTCAAAAACGCAAAAAGACTTAGAATTTAGGAAAATGATACTAAATCCTTAATATAAAATCTAATTGACTAATTTTAAGAGATTAAAGAAGTTGAATAAGTTACTTTGAAGTATTTATATTTATTTTTTTAAAACTAATGTCTGACTTATAAACTAATATTTAATCTAATAATACACATAAATATTTCAGCAAATTTATGTAGTATATGTTATAATTAAGTATTTAATTAATTGTGTTTTATATTAAGTCGTGGATGTAATATAAAAATTCATGTGATACATTGCATTAGATTCCATCAATAATTTTGCAACGTTACAAACTTCCTGAACACGGCTTTGACTAATCTGCAGGATTAGGATAATACGAGTTGGAAAAACTTTCCATGACTTTGCAGATTTCTAACACTGGAAATGGCAATCAACTGTTTTTCTTCTTCTTTTAATTTTTATCTTTCGAAAAATTATGAGTTTGGATTTTGTTATCTACGCCGCATGAGAAGAGGAACGTCCCTTGTCGTCGTCAGTCTATGTACCATGTGAGAAGGTTCTTCTTTTATTCCCTGAATTAATAGTGTTCAATTTGCGGATGACCCCTTCAATTCTTGTTTCTCAATCTTGTTTCATCGTCAATATTATATTTACATGCGAAGCTGAAAGTTGCAGTGTGAGCTCGCGCTAGTTTACATGTACATTACGGTAATGATTCTCTAACTCAGCACATAAAATTAATCAATTGTTAGCATCAATCACTTTAATTTCATTTGAAACATTCTAATCACAAAAAGTGTCTAGAAAAGTATAAATACGAGGCTGTGCGTGCTGTGGTCTATTTGTGTCATTAATTTCTATCAATACAACTGAGACTCCTTTTGGTTGTAATTTCTAAAGATTTTATCTTGTCTTTTTAATTCAGAAAAAAAGATAATTTTGGTGCACGAAGAAGGGAGATTCATATAATTCATCTTGAGGAGCAGAAGAAGAAGCTGTGTATGTTGTACAATTGATCATTTTTGGAGTGTGAAAAATGAAGGTCTCTTATGAGTTCATATTAACTTCTACTAAGAAACATGTACTTATCGTTCCTCTCATTTCAAGACTTTCCGTAACCCCACTGTTCCTTACCAAACATTGGTCTAACTAGAAGTAAAATAAAACAAGTTGAAATCATTAATAAGTAAACAAATATAATTCTGAATGTATTCTGGATTAGGGAACTTACAACAGCTGGGTGGCGACCTAGCTTTCACGTACGGAAACATAAAGACGGAGAAATCTAAACAAACAAGAAAGTAACAAATATAGGAGAGCAGATCCAGTCTTGTAATTCACCATCCCCGTAGTCGAAATCTCGCCAACAATATGAGAACTTCTGCAACTAGCTTGGAGGGTTGCATTATATTAGTTGTGTATTCACGTGAGAAAGAGAGAAACAAATGTAACGAAGAATTTTTTTTTGAAGAAAAATATGTAAGAGCGTTAAACTTACCACCATTCTAAATAGTTTCTCCAGATTGATAATGCACAACAGTAACCCAGCAAATGAATCTTATTATCAGGGTATCATAATTATATAAGAAAAACAAAGGTTACCTGTTAGTCTTCTTGGAATTTTCTCTTTATCTTTGCCTTCAAAATAGCAACTTGAACATAAATCCAGTCATACATGTTTTCGAAGAAGTGAAAAAAGGAATGCCGCCATGACTTATTGAGAATTAAAGTCCCACAAACTCCCCAAAATCCAATAATGAAGCCAAGAGTCATGCTCACATAAAACCCAAAGCTTATGAGATTATCATCTCCATCTGCATCATTGTTACTTGGATTGGGATTTTGATCCAAACCTCCATCTCCTGGACATCTTTTTGTAAGTGGCGGGCCACAAAGCCCCCGGTTTCCTATATAATCGGAGGCATTGAAGGATTGAAGTTGGGTGCCGGTTGGAATTTTTCCTGATAAATTGTTGAAGGCCAAGTTCAACACACTCAAAAAACTCAAACTTGAGAGGCTGATTGGAATTTCACCAGAAAGAGAGTTGTATGACAAATCAAGTGATTCCAACATTTCCATTTGACCCGTGTTCATAGGAATGGATCCTTTCAAATGATTTCTAGACAAGTTTAGGGAAGTCAATGCCACAAGTGCAGCTATGCTACTTGGGATTTTTCCTGTTAAGTGATTGCATGAGAGATCAATGGTTTTCATGAATCGAAGATTCTTATCGTACTCAACAGATTGTCCTTTCCATGCCAATGTTGCTGTGTCCGTGAAGGATGATCCAACAATTAAAAATTCGCCAGATGATTCAGCAACTGGATAAGAAATTTCTGGGCTCACAGATGTCGTATTTGACATAGCATTCAAATTACCAAAACAATGAGGTATATTTCCTGTCAAGTTATTTTTTGAGAGATCTAAGATTTGAAGATGTGGCAAATTACATAAATTTGTAGGAATGCTTCCGTGAAGCCTATTTGCTTGCAAACGTAAGCCAATCAAATTGTGCAAGTACTGCCCAATCCATGATGGCAATTTTCCAGTCAAATTATTCTGTCCGAAATCAATGAACAGCAAGTCTGAAGAATTCATCAGAGCTGACAAATTCCCAGAGAGGTTATTGTTATTCAGATGGATACTTTCAAGATCGTTCAAAGTACCAACTGAATTTGGTATTGCCCCGTAGAAATGATTGTTTTCCAATCTCAGAACCCTCAAGGAAGGAAGTTGTCCCCAGCAATCAGGAAGTTTTCCTGACAAAAAGTTGCTTGAAATGTCAAGATAATCTAAATTTTCTTGAAGAGTTGCACAGATGAAAGATAAGTTTCCTGAAAACATATTGTTTGAGAGAAGCAAGGCCATTGTTGCATTTGGTGGGAAATATGGCAGGGGACCGGACAGATTGTTGAAACTCAAATCCAAAATACCACGTTCAATTTTCATGACTAATTTTGGCAACTCCCCATGAAGTTTGTTATGGGAAAGATTCAAGTATTGTAAAGAAGATGGCCAAAGCCATTGAGGAATTGAATCTGAAATTGACGCATAAGAAATGTCCAACCGCCGAAGCTCCCTTTGATACTTTAACCAGCTAGGAAAGTGGGGTCCAAAATTACATGATGCTGCAAGAAATCCATGCAATTGAAAAGGCGGCACCCAATGCGAACTGAAGTTGAAAAAAATCATATTTTGTGACACATCTAAAACTCTCAATTCAGAGAGAGTTGAAAGATGTGTTTCATTAATGACAGAATTCAACCTATTGTTAGACAGATCTAAGTACTCCAACGATGCAAGTCCAACAAACGTCGGCAATGGCCCTGTTAAATTGTTACCATTCAAAGACAATTCGAAAAGGTGAGGTAAGTGCCCAAATGATTGTGGAATTGACCCATGAAGACTAGTGTTCTCAAGATCTAAAATCTCCAGATTTGAAAATCTTGAAAAATCGGGAAATGGTCCACTACTAAAAGGATTGTGACTTAAACGCAACTCCTCTATACTATTTTGAGCGCACCTTAACTGTGGTATCCAATCACTTAATTGATCTGAAAAACTGTTATAGGACAACCGTAACGTTTTCAATCTGCACAAATTTTGGATGGATTTTACCATGCTATCCTCAAGTTTATTCTCTTGAAGATCCAGAAATTCAAGAGATGTGGTATTTGTGAAGGCATCGGACGGAATACGTCGCAAAGGACTTTGAGAAAGAGATAAAGATTGAAGAGAAATCATATTTGAAAAAGCTTTGGGACCAAGTTGCAAAGGATTAAAGTGAAGATACAGAACTTGAAGGGAATTTATATTCAAAGCATTTGGAAAAATATGTTCCAAAGCGGTATCGCTAAGATCAAGATCTGTTAAGACGTTGCTAACGTTAGACAACCACGGTAGAATTGAAGAGTCTAAATTATTATCTGCAAGAGAAAGGACTTTGAGGGACGTGGAAGAGTTTGTATGGACAAAAGAGGCAGGACTGACATGATGAAATATAAGAGCACAATTGTCCAAGAAAACCTCAGACAGATGAGGAGCTTTGGATAATGATGATTGCCAATCAACAGCTTGACTTAGATTGACGTTTGAAAGGTCAAGAGATCTCAACGAAGAAAGGTGAGAAATCCACTCAAGATCTTTCCCAATCAAACCAGTAGAGCCAAGGCGCAGAGTTTGCAAACTGGATAGATTTTGCAGTCCACGAGGGATAGTGCCACCAATTGAAACAATAATTAACTCTTTCAGTTGACCAAGTAAGCCAATGCATTCTGGAATTTTGCTCCCTTCGAAATTGTTTCCATAGAGATTCAAGTAAGTTAGATGCTGCAAATCACATAATGAGGAATCGATACTACCTCTCAATTCCTTTCCAGCAAGAGCCAGCTCGATTACATGACCGGTCAAATTACTGCATGATACTCCACTCCACTCACAGCAATCAGCTTCACTTTTCCAGGTGGATAACATGCCGAACTCATCAACGAAACCATGTTTTAATTTGAGAAGAGCTTCCTTATCTGTCTCTGCGCAACTGATGTTTATATTGGAACATCCTGCACACCAAAAGAGACATAAAGCTCCAACAAGCCAAAAGCAATTGAACTTAGAGCTGAACATGATGATGAACATGCTTGGGATTCTTTTCATTTGGATATAGTAAGAACAGGGAAGACGCCTTGTGGATTTGGAGTTAATGATCCTAGGGCCATTTATAAGCAAACAATTCACCATGTTTTTAAAAAAATTTTATGACAGACGGAAGAATTATTCTCATCAATGTGATAAAAATTAATAATTCCATAGATGAAGATTTTTCGTTCATGAAAAAGGACCATAAAATTTTTATTTAAAGAAAAAACAACTGATGTTATTAAAAACATTCTTATCATTTAATTAATTTGATTAGTCTAAATTTTATTAAGAAACCAAATTGTTTGAATCAGCTGATGAAAATTTATTTGAAATAATTATTTAATTTATATTTCACTAGCAGTAAAAGCTAATCTCTTTTGGGTAATAAACAAATCTCTTCAACTACGTTTTCTCCATTCACAATGATTAGGAATCAATCATCCAATTGATACACATATTGTCTCATTTGATAGTTTGAGTAGAGTAGATGTCCGAAAAATATCACAGAACGTCAATATTCTCCCAAAACCTTCCCTAATTTTCTAAATCAATTTCCTATTTTTATTAATTTTTTTAGATATATGTATTACTCATAAAAATGTTGTTAATAATACTTGTAATGAATCAGTAATTTCTTCTATTAATTTTTTTTTTGGACAATTCAAGTTGCTTAAATTTTATTTGAGGTTAAGTTAAAAACATTCTTATCATTTAAATAATTTGATCAGTTAAGTTTTCTCTTGGAATGGAAAATTGTTTGAACCAACTCATAAAAGTTTATTTGAAATACTTATTAATTTCTAACTTAAAATTAATCAATAGTTTACATCAATCACTCTCAATTGAGGTATTAGGGCAATAAAGGGCGTCCAGAAAAATAGAAATAAGAAATTGTTGTAACATGTATGACTGACTTGTATCGTTAATTTAATAATATAAGTGACACTCCTCGATTTTATCACCACAATCACCATTTTCTACGAAATTTTTTGTGATCGCAAATTTTCGTTCATGTCATATGAAAAGGCTCATCTCTTTATCCATTTCATGGATGAATATCCCAATCAAGCCTGAATCAAAATATAAATGACGCCGAATTTAATATTACTAAAATTAATATTAATTTTATTTATATGATACTGTAAATGACGCCGAATTCCTTTTAATATTATTGAAATTAATATTAATTTTATTTATATCAGTCTCATGCCTTCAAAATCTAAAACTTAAATTGATCATCCCCATGTATCATCATTTGTTTATCCTCATGAAATACGAAGACCATACTCCACTAACCGTAACCATTAAGGCTTCTAATTGAACAGTTAGATATCAAAATATAAGATATATATATATATATATATATGATTATGTTGCGTTAATTTAGTAGTGCTTCCTCCCAATAATATAAAAGTTAGATAGCTAATTTAAAAATATTACAAATATAGTTAAATTAATTATTTAAAATTAGAATAAACATGTGTTGGTTTTTTAAAATCTCATTTATGGACATTATTATTGATGATTATATGGTTGAAAATTTTTGTTCATGCCGTATAAGAAGGATATGAACTCCTTTAATTTTATGGACCCCACATAAACACGGCTTTGACTGATCAGAATTAGAATCAGGGGCATTAATGTCAGTTTGATTGGTTGAGGAAGATACATATTCCGAGCTCGTTTGACCTAAAAGACTCAGAAAAATGATAATAAATCCTAAATATAAAACCTAATTGACTAATTTGAAGATATTAAATAAATTACTTTAAAGTATTTATATTTATTATTTTTTTAAAATAATTTGTCTGACTCGTAAACTGATATTTAATATAATAATACATATAAATATTTTAGAAAGATTATGTAATATATAATATAATTAAGTAATTAATCAACTGTGTTTTATATTAAGCCGTGGATGTAATGTAAAAATTCATGTGATACATTTCATTAGGTCCCATCAATAATTGTGCAACGTCACGTTTCAAACTCCCTGAACACGGCTTTGACTAATCTGCAGGATTAGGATAACATGCGTTGGAAAAACTTTCCATGAGTTTCCAGATTTCTAACACCGGAAATGGCAATATCAACTACTGTTTTTCTTCTTCTTTTAATTTTTATCTTTTGAAAAATTATGAGTTTGGATTTTGTTATCTAGGCCGCATGAGAAGAGGGACGTCCCTTTTTCTCCTTCAATAGATGTATATATTTATATCTTTAAAAAAAAAACATTTTTATCGTCAGTCAACGTACCATGTGAGAAGGTTCTTCGTTTATCCCCTGGATTAATTGTCCAGTTTGGATCATAAAACAATATTTCCCTCTCATCCATAACTCATATTGTTTTGCAATATGTTGGCCATTAAATTGTTTGTTGTTGAAATTCAGGGTCGAAACAATAACAAAAATCACCAAAAAAGAGCTTGAAAATTGAAAACTTACATGCGGGGAACTGCTGACAAAAATTATCATTTGCTTATCAATTGTTATCAAAACCAATATTAATGTTGTAACAGGATCCCTTTTCATAATTTTTCTATTTTCAATGTATTCTTTTGCAATTTTTCCAATCCAAACAATAATATGATAAATGGGAACTGGGCTATGGCTTGCAAAGTAATTGAAATGCTGGGGAATGAAATTAACTTCAAAATAAACTTAAGCAAGTGATGATGAGGATATAAACAGAATAATATTGACGAATGGGGTTATAAATATGGAAAATTTGCTGAGAAGTATCTATTGGAAGTATTTTATCACCTAGAAGTCTGTGAAATTTGTTTACGGAACCGAGTACAACTCATTTAAGCAAATACTCCCACTGTCGCCTTTTTACAAGTAATAACTACCATCTCCAACTTGTCCATAAATATAAGTAGTATTTGCAAGTTGTCTTAAATTTTTGGAACAAATTTCCTATTTTATCCCCATTAATCACTTATTTTAATACTTAATATATTTATTATCTCATTTTCCAAACTATCATCTCTCTTCATCACACATGCTCTCTCTTTTATACCTCTCATTATAATAATTTTCTTATTCTCTTTTTATTCTCTCTCTCCACGCATAAATAAAGGTATTTTGGAGAAAAAACTTTCAATTTCTATATAAAAGGGGACCGAGGGAGTACGATGTAACTATTCTTCAATTATGTACAACCTATCTACAACTTAAACCACCTCAATACAATTTTGCTATAATTAGTTATGAATTTTTAAAGTTAGACAAAAAAAATCTGGAATTACCATTAAACCAGAGAATTAAAATATAAATTTTTAATCTTTGGGCTTAATTTATGATTTTCTTGGTATTAAATGGGGTAAAAGGACGGATGTTTCAACACTCCTTGAATTTACCACATCATTGTCACCATCATTTGTGAAAATTATCATTCAGGATTATGCAGTTGTAAATTTTTATTCACGCCGTGTGAGAAGGTTCATTTCCTTTCTTCTTCTTCCTTGTTTGAACCAATTGATGAAAGATTATTTGAAATAATATTATCTTCTAACTTAAAATCAATCAATCGTTAACATCAATCATTCTCATTTAAGGCGTTCTGGTCATGAATGGTGTCTAGGAAAGTAGAAATAAGAGGCTGTTGTGGCATGAATAACATATTTGTGTGATTAATTTCTAACAACGTAGGTGACACTCCTTAAATTTATTATCACCGTCACCATCATTTGTGGAAATTATTATTATCCAGGATGATGTGGTTGGAAATTCTTGTTCATGAAGTGTGAGAAGGTTCGACTCCTTTTTCCTTCGTCAATAGACCTATTGCTTATAAAATGTAAATCACGCTGAGTTTCTTTTAATTTTATTGTAATTAAAATTAATTTTATTGATCTGAGTCTCATGTCTTTAATAAACCTGAAATTAACCATCTGCATATATCATTTTTTTTTTTTAATTCTAGTGAAATACGAGGATCATACTTCATTATCAGTAAGCTAATCTCTTTTGGGTAATAGGCAAATCTCTTCCAAGTAAATTTGCTTCATTCACGAGGTTTACAGGAATCAAAATATATATGAGATTGTGTCGCATTAATTTGTGTGTATCAGATTGATTGGTTGAGGAAGATAGCTCGTTTGACTTAAAGGTCGAAAAAAAACAAAAAGAAAAAAGCTCATTTGACTCTTCTATTTTGTTCTACCCCTAAAGACATAGACACAGTAATGAGTAGGTATTACTACCATAAAAATACTAGCCTATATTAATAATTTTTTTTTTCAAATACACGTATTACTTATAAGAATGCTGTTAGTAATACATGTAATAATTTCTGCTAGTATACAAATATTTTTCAGAATTCAAATTGCTTAAAATTTATTTGATATCAAGTTATAAGATATGTTAAATAGATACAAGCATATAATTTATTGAAAGTAAAATATAAGAATTGCTAACTTCATTGTTAAACTTTGAAAAAAAACTTCCAGTTAAAATTTAGAAAAATGATATAAAAATTCAGGTGACACCTTGCCTCTGGTCCCTCCAATTAATAATTTTGCAAAGTTTCAAACTTCCCGAACACGGCTTTGACTAATGAGGA